GGGGGAGGTTGACTAGTAATCTTTTAAACTTAAGAAAATTTCTTTTAAATAGATGTAATTTTTAAGTTGCATTATTTATTATTTTTAGAAGCACTCAAACAGTACCCAAATAGTTACTACTCACAATGGTAACAAGACTTTTTATTACCTTTTGCTGTTCATCTATAATTTTCACCTTGCATAAAACTTTTAAACATATTTAGAAATATGAAATTTCCACAGCTATATTTCAGAAAGCAACTAAAAAAGTGTTTTTTCAAACCAAGTCAAATATATCAAATATTTGTGACAATATACCTAACACAATTAACCAAGTGTTCTATTTAACTTTCTGAGAGAAAGCAAACATAATATTGTATTACTCTTTTAAAGAGGATAATTTTAAAAAATAACTGTATGCTGCCATTTTATTTTAGAGAATTAAAAAACAAACATATAGAGAGAAGACATCGCCAAAAATGACAGAATAGGTAACTCAAAGGTTCCATGCCAAAAACTGTCAGAATCAACTTTTGCAGAACTCTGGAATCTAATCCAAAACTTACAATAACTAAGGGAAGACTTGAAGAAAGAAACTAATGGGTTGCATTAAGAGAGCGATATGGTGTTATTAATTGCCAGCTCACCATCCTCAACACCCCAGATCAGCTGGTGATGGTTGCTAGCACCAGAAGGAGCACTATAGACCTTATTCTCAAAGAACTGTGGCTGTGGGCATCAACCGGTTTAGCAGATTCTCCTCAAAGACCAACAAAGGTTTTTCTTTGTTTTGCTGACTCAGAATCTTCCCAGGAGCAGAGTGGCTTTTGCTACAGCAGCCTGAGGCAAAGGATAACATGCAAGACAAACAGTAACAGAATGAGAAGCTTGGGAGGAAGAGGCTGGGTAAAGAGATACATGAGGAAATACAGGCGTTTTAAAGTTCACCAATATACAGGGGATTGAGAAGGCCACACTTAATGCCCAGAATGGGATGCATGTGCTTTAAAGACCCGAGGAGACCTAAAGCTCTCATCCCTGGCTGACTTTCAGACTTTGTGCAAGTAGGAAGTGAAAACGAATGAAGAGTTGTAAATTGCCTGGCTAAGCATAGAATGAGTTCCCACACAGACCAATATGCAAAGTCTGGGAGAGTCTTCTTTCCTCTCTTTTTTTTTCCCCACCGGCTCCAGGTATTTAAAGTAATTGTCAAACACCAGCTGACCACTAAGCTAGGACAACACAGAGTTCAGTGGACACAGATGATAAAGAATGCAGACTTTAAAAAAATAGTTTAGAAAAGTCACTAAACAAACAAACAAAACAACCAACAATTTCCAGCAACAACAAATCCTGAGAGGCAAGAATATGATTTCCACATGATAATATTAAAAATATCCAGTTTCAACAATAACAAAAATTATGAGGCATGCAAAGAAAGTATGGCCTATTCACAGGAAAAAAAGAAATTAATAAAAATTTTCCGCCCTAACCCGTTTGGCTCAATGGACAGAGCATCGGCCTGAGGACTCAAGGGTCCCAGGTTTAATTCCGGTCAAGGGCATGTACCTTGGTTGCAGGCACATACCCAGTGGGGAGTGTGCAGGAGGCAGCTGATCGATGTTTCGAACTCTCTATTCCTCTTTGTAAGAAATCAATAAAATATATTTAAAAAAATTTTTTCCCTGCCTTGGCTGGGATGTTCAGTTGGTTGGAGCATCATCCAATACACCAAAAGGTTGCAGGTTCAATTTCTGGTCAGGGCACATTACCTGGGTTGTGGGTTCTGTCCCGGGTTAGGGGCATACAGGTGGCAACCAATTGATGTTTCTCTCTCACATCAATGTTTCTCTCTCTCTAAAAATCAATTTAAAAAAAATATCATCTGGTGAGTATTAAAAAAACAAACTGTCCCTGAGGAAGCCCAGGCAGTGGACATACTAGTCAAAGACTTTAAATCAACTGTCTTTAATATGCTCAAAGAGTTAAAGGAAATCATAGACTAATAACTAAGATTAACCAGAAGAATTATGTCTTATCAGATAGGGAATATCAATAAACAGGACGAAATTATAAAACTGTACCAGTTACAAACTCTGGAGTTGAAATGAAAAACTCAGAAGGTTCAATATCAGATGTGATCAGGCTGAAGAAAGGAACAGGTAACTTTCAAATAATTCAATTGAATTTATGAAGTCTGAGGGTTATATTGTAAATCAGAGGACGCCTTAATCAATAAGCCAAATTTATTTGGAGTCCTTTTCATTTCACTAGCGCTAACGGGCCCAGAGGAAATCTTGCTTCTCAAATTCTGGAGCCCAGTCTGGTGGAAGTCTTTCCTATTTATATGTTTTTCAGCTCTTTGTTTTCCAAATTTGGAATGAGACTTCCAGACCTTCTGAGAAAAAGTCCTGTGTGCTGGGACAGGGCTGTGAGATACATGAGGAAATACAGGCGTTTTAAAGTTTTAAAGTTTTAAAGTTCACCAACAAAGGTTTTTCTTTGTTTTGCTGACTCAGAATCTTCCCAGGAGCAGAGTGGCTTTTGCTACAGCAGCCTGAGGCAAAGGATAACATGCAAGACAAACAGTAACAGAATGAGAAGCTTGGGAGGAAGAGGCTGGGTAAAGAGATACATGAGGAAATACAGGCGTTTTAAAGTTCACCAATATACAGGGGATTGAGAAGGCCACACTTAATGCCCAGAATGGGATGCATGTGCTTTAAAGACCCATATCTCAAGGCCTGGCCTGGCGCCAGCACTGACAACTCTGTCTGGGGCATAGTTTATGGCCTCTCTGGAATGGGGAGTAGTCTTATTTTCCTTATTATTTAAGGACGCAAATGTTTACAGAGTAGCAGGGTTAAAATTTTAAACAGCAGTTTTTACCCAAGATGGAGGTTACTATGCTTCATTAGGAGCAAAAAGAGAAAGCAAAGAGAGAGGAAGGAGCAGAAAGATTATTTGAAGAAATTATGAACAAACCTTTAAAATTTAAGGAAAGTCATGAATATAAACATCCAAGAAGCTCAACAAATCTTAAGCAGGATACTCGCACCAAGAAACATTATAATCAAATTGTCAAAGCCAAAAGCAAAGAGAGTATCTTGAAAGAAGCATTAGGTATTAGGTCTTATTTGGATCCTGATCCAAACAAACTGTTAAAAAAAAACAAAAAACTATGACAGAATTGAAAATTTGAACAAGGATGGGACATAAAATTATATTAAGGAATTATTAATTTTAGGTATGAAATAGTACTGTGGTTTTACATAAAAAAGGAAGTCCTAGTAGATATGCACTTTGAAATCTTATGCACAAAGTGATATTATATATGAGATTTGCTTCAAAAATCATCTCTAAGGGTGGGAAATGGGTAAGGATAACCTATATAATAAAAGGCTAATATGCGAATTGCCCCCAGGGGCGGGAGTTCGACTAACCAGGAGTGAGACGTGCGCTGACCACCAGGGGGCGGCACCAAACATGGTGGGCATCGGCGATACAGCTCTGGCAGTGGGCGGCAATGGAGGTGCTGCTGGCCCCAATCGGCCCCAATGAGAGCGGGGCTACAGCAGGATGGTGGAGCAGGTGAGTGGGCGGTGCCAGGCCAAGGCAGGTGAGAGCAGTGGCCCCGATCACCCCACCCGTTGCCCCACAGGTGGGCCCTGATCACCAGCCAGGCCTAGGGACCCTACCTGTGCACAAATTTCATGCACTGAGCCTCCAGTCCTATATAATAAAAGGTTAATATGCAAATTGTCCCCTCCAGAGTTCAACCGACTGGGAGTTCGACCACTCGCTATGACATGTACTGACCACCAGGGGGTGGCGTGGAATCAGGAAGGTCCGGCCAGCAGCCGGAAGGCTCCGATCAAACCTGATCAGGGCCTTCCTGTGCACAAATTTCATGCACCGGGCCTCTAGTAGATACAATAGGATTGACCATGAGTTGTTAACTGTGAACAATGGGTACTGAATGCATTTGCTTTCATTATATAGTGGGCTCTCTATATCTGTGGGTTCCATATCCTCACCGAAGATCAAGAATAGTAAAAAAAAAAATTACATTTATGTTGATATGCACTATGTTGTTAGGCCTATGATGGTTGCATTTGAACATGTACAGAGACTTCTTTCTTGTTATTTCCTAAACAATATAGCATAAACTATTTACATAGCATTTACATTGCATTAAATATTGTAAGTAGTCTAGGGATGATTTAAAGTATGTGGGAAGGTGTGCATAGGTTATATGCAAAGACTATGTCATTTTATATAAGGGACTTGAGCACCCTGGAGTTTTGGTATCCTCTGGGGTCCTGGAACCAATTTCCCATGGATATCCAGGGAGGACTATGCTATTCTATTTTTTAATATGTTTGAAATTTCCCATAAAAAAGTTAATACTGGTAAAGTTAATGTGAACTATATAAAGAGAATACATTTTTAAACAAAAAAAGGAATGAACAAAGGTATTAAGAATAATTAGAAAAAAATCCATGTCCTTGACTTATTTCCTGTCTCCCAGCACATTTTTGTTAAAGAAAACAGCGGGCATTGGTAGCAAGGAGGATCAGAGGTGGGTAGTGCATATTGCTCGTCATAGATATTCCTGCATAAATGTTTTTTAAAAATATTAAACCAAAGTGTGATTCATTTTTACTACTGAGGTTTTTTGCATCCCCTTAAAGTTTCCAACTGAGTCCCGCCAGGGCGGGGGGGGGGGCAGGGAGGGGGGGTTAAGGTGTGTATACTGGGAGAAAAGGAGGAAAGAGGCAAGTCCCCAGAGAAGCAGTGGGAATGGCCACCAGGCCCCTGAGTAGATAAGCAGCAAGGACCCAGGAATCCACAAAGAAGGGATGGCGACCGGCGAGCGGGCGGAGCTGACACTGTTACAAGGGACTCCGAGGGGGGGGGGCGCAGGGGCCAGGCCACCCGGCCCGTGGACAGGCTGGGGCGGGACGGGGGCGGCGCCGCTCTCTGTGACGGAGGCCCCACGTGACCCGCCTCCTTGGACTCGCGCGCCTCGCTCCAGCGCCAGACCCCGCGGAGGCTCGCCCCGTTCTGGCTGCAGCGCCCGGTGGCCCTGAGGGCGCGCGGGCCCGGGAAGCCCCCAGAGGCGGAGGCGGAGGCGGAGCAGGTAAGGGACCCGCAGCGGCGCCCGGGGTGGCGGCGGGGGCGGCGGGGGCGAGCGGACCCGGCCGGGGGAGCCTCCGAGGGGTCGGGCTGCTCCGGGCGAAGCGCCTGGGAGACCGCAGCCCCCACTCCCCGACGCGGCGCGCGTGTGTCTGCGGAAAACGCCGAGCTTCCCCGGGGGCGCGCTGGGCGGCCCAGGGCGACGACCCTCGGGGAGCACCTGCCTCTGGGCCCCCGCCCCGCCCCCATCTTCCTGGGTGTCGAGCGCGGTGGGCAGCGCGGGGTGGGGGCGGCTGGCGCGAGAGCCCGGGGCGGGCCGGGGACTTGCGTGGCCGGGGTGGGTGGGCGCACCCGCTGGGCCAGCGCTCGGCTGCGGCGCCACCCGCTCCCCCTCGCCGGTCCCTGCAGGTCTTCGGGTCCCAGAGTCGCGGCCGCGCGCTCCAGGCGAGAATCGCGAGGAGGAGCCGCCTGCAAGGATAGGCCCAGGTGGGTGTGGGGTACGGTGGTCGGGGGGCGGGACTGAATGGAAAGCCCTGAGACCCCAAAGCCTTACCCCACCCCCATCCCGTCCTCAGTTTTGGTGCTTGCAGAGGCCTGGGCTTGGATCGCAGGGAAAATGGTGGGTTTGGGGCGAGGGATGGGAGGGGGGAGAGCTGGGACTGGAGGCCCCCTAGAGGGCGTAGGGAGCCTCTCTGGCGGGAAAAATGCAATTTTAAAAAACCTTTGAAATTCAGGCCTCTGAATCCAGAAAGGTGCATAGTAGGGCCTCTGTCCTCGGTGCTGATCAGTCCACCAATGAAGTAGTCCCTTCTATCTCTTGTCTCTCCTAGGCGCAATGGCGTCCAAAAAGGAACTAGCAGTAAAAAATCTCATCATGGAAAATGCCCACCAGGAAAACGAAGGAGCGGACCAGGCCCTTGTGCAGAATGAGGAGGAATCACGCAATTTGGGAGGAGGCGAAGCCCAGAAGCCTGGAGGAAATGCCAGGCTGGGGTGGGTTAAGCGACTTGTCCCTAATTTTCGACGGGCCATATCTAACAAGCGTGTTGATTACAATGAAGTGGGAGATAATGTAGAAAAGATCGCAATGCAGCGGATGGAAATCAGGAGAAAGACCAGGGAGCAGCAAATGAGACATGTTAGACGCTTCCAAACTCCTGAACCTGATAATCATTATGACTTTTGCCTTATACCTTAAATCTTAAGGTTTTCACTGAGGTTAATAATGTGGCCTCTACTCCAAAAACTAGTAGTTTTGTGGTTTACTTTTCTGTAAACCTTTTGATGTTTCCTCTTACTAGTTTCTAATTGAATAATGTTTTTGTCTCAGTATAAAACTCTGTCCAGCAAGGCAATTTCACTCAGTTTTTGGAAAAATACTCTTTTCATGTTGTAAAATTAATAAAGCAGCTTAAAAACCAATCTTCCTATTCTACCCAGTTTTTTTATTCTTTGTTAACATTACTTTTACTCTCCTAACTACCTGGACTCAGAATCTCAATTGACTTTGACTACTTTTTCTTGTCCCCTACCAATCAGTAAGGAGGGATCCTACTCATAATTTAACACCTGATACCATTTTAAATTGTACTTCCTACTTTTTTTCAAAAAGTGTGAGTCTATCATCTGCATAAAAACACTGATGGGGGAGCTTTTTGAGGATGTAAGACCTCTGGCTCGTATCTTCCAGACTCAGACTGGAGCTCAAGAATCTCCACTTTTTAACAAGCTCCTTGGGTAATTGTAATGTATAACAAAGCCTGAGGGCACCATTGTGCATATGTATGTAGCTATGTACAGATGTGTGTGTATATTGGCGTATGTATTATGTGTCCACATAGCCATATATTGTCATATTAAATGTAAACAAGTAGGATGAATACTTATTTGAATTCAATGGGCAAAATGCATTAAAAGGAAATTATAAGACCTTAAAATAGCCTGATTAATAAAGTGGCAAATGAGGGTACTGGAGTTTAGAGATACTACGTACCAAGGCTACCACCTACTATAGATCTTGGGAGAGATGATCTGGCCTGGGTCATTTTTTATACTTTGTACTCATCTGAAGATGCAGATTATTTGACTTATAACTAAGCTGAGGAAAATCAAAGAGGACTCAGCAAGACGGGCTGTTTTTTTTTAATATTTTTTTTCTACATTCCCAATGCAGACACTAGTATTTTTAGAATACAGCAGAAAGAAATCCTAAAGACCCTCCAAAGTGTTCTTCAACGTGAGGATTGCCACCCATTATGGCTCTTGAAATCCATTTTGTGGGTGATAATCAAGCAATTTAAAAAAAAAAAAGGCCCTGGCCAATGTGACTCAGTTGGTTGGAGCATCAGCCTGTGCACTGGAGGGTTGCAGATTTGATTCCTGCCCTGGTTGGGGGCAAATGGGGGGAGACAATCGATGTGTCTCCCTCTCATCGATGTTTTTCTCTTCCCCTCCCACCCTCCTTCCACTCTAAGAATCAATGGAGAAAAATATCCTTGGTTGAGGATTAACCAAAAAAAAAAAAAAGCAATTTTTAAAAAACTGCAATAGGCCTTGGCCAGTGTGGCTCGGTTGGAGTGTCATCCAGTACACGGAAGGGTCGCAGGTTCGATTACCAGTCAAGGCACATACCTAGGTTGTGGGTTCAATCCCTGGTCAGAGTGTGGGCAGGAGGCAGCTGATATATGTTTTCTTCTCACATTGATGTTTCTCTTCCTCTTCCTCTCCCTTTCTCTCTAAAAGTCAATAAAAAAGCATGAAAAGCCTGCTGGTTTGGCTCAGTGGATAGAGTGTTGGCCTGCAGACCAAAGGGTTCGATTCTGGTCAAGGGCACATGTCTGGGTGGCAGGCTCGATCCCCACTGGGGGGCATGTGGGAGGCAGCCAATCCATGATTCTCTCTCATCAATGATGTTTCTATCTCCCTCCTTCTCCCTTCCTCTCTGAAATCAATAAAAATATATTTTTAAACGCATGAAAAAAATTTTAAACACAAAAGAATAGAACAAAACACATCAGAGTCCCTAATTGATGACTAGTGTTAAGAATTATTTTAAGAAACTTGTTTTAGTTTTACATGTAGGAAATATTGTCACCTTATGGTATTTCTAACTGTACATCACAGGGTAAAAAAAATTGAAAGTCACTTTTTCAATTCAAACTTCATTTCACAAATAAGGAAACTAGGGAGGAAAGTGATTTTCCCAAGGTCACAGTTAGTGGTATAGCTGGGACCACAATTCCCATTTCAGGTTACTTGTCTCCTCACACAGTGTCTTCAAAAGACATGATTTGGAAATTCTTGCCATGTGTACTGATTACCAGTGATATGGATAAACAAACATGTGCAACTTATATAAAAATTAGAGGCCCATGAAAATTCATGCACTGGAGGGGGGTCACTCAGCCTGGCCTGCCCCCCCTCATAGTCCAGGAGCCCTCAGGGAAGGGAGGTGACCCGGTGATCAGGGGAAGGCGACACCCCATCACACCTCTGCTGCTGCCACTGCCACTGCTGGCAGTGCAAGCCGCGGCCGGCCCTGGTTACCTGAGCCTTGGGCAGCTGGGCAGCCACCATCCAAGGCTTGCCTGTGCCTCGGGCCGGCCCTGGGTGGCTATGGGTGCTGCCATCTTTGAGGGTGTGGCAGTCAACTAGCATAGTCCCTCCTTATTGGCTGTGGGTGCCGCCATCTTTTCGACGGTGTGAGGGTTAATTAGCATATTCCTCTTTATTAGATAGAATACTGTTTATTTAATGTTCACTTTAGTCATCAGAGTCCCTGCATGTTTTGTTGAGAAACACGTTTAGGAAGGACTCTGTGCCCCTTATAACATTTTGGAGTTAGAAAGATCTTTCATCTTCTGTCTAGCAGAAGGAGATCATGGAGAGTCTGGTCTGAAAATGCAAGGTGGTAAACTCACAGGCACTTTTTTTGTTGTTAATTCTCACCTGAGGATATTTTTCCATGGATTTTTAGGGAGAGTGGAAGAGAGGAAAAGACAGAGAGAAACATCAATGTGAGAGAAACACATCGATTGGTTGTCTCCTACACAAGCCCTAACCAGGGCCCAGGCCAGGGAAGAGTCTGCAACCCAGGTACATGCCCTTCACCAGAATCAAACCTGGGACCCTTTGGTCCACAGGCTGACGCTAAATCCACTGAGCCAAACCGGCCACGGCATAGGCACTTTTTAATAGCTAGGTGATTGAGTGATGTTCATGAATGGGCTTTTGGTCACTCTGAAAATTGACACCATACCTTCTATACCAATCCTAGATTTCCCAAGGTAGCCTCAATTTAAGAAAATTGGGGAATAGACGGTGTTTCTGAGGGAGTGGAATGATATGGTCAGAACTTTCGGTAAGTGGCAAAGGTCAGAGAAAAACGTTACAATGTGATTGGTTGAAGGAGAACCAAATTAAGACCCTCCCTCCTGGTTGTTTATGTGATGGTGGGGTATGCGTACAGAGTTTTCTAGAAGCAGTAAAATTTAGGGACAATAATCAGAATATACCTGAAGGAGAAATGAAGGAAGCACCCTTTCCTGGGTGGTTTTGCAAGGTTGGAGAAGTGAGGACAGAACGTTGTGGAAAAAGTAAAAATTTAAAAGGCAATTGAAGGCCCTAACTAGTTTGGCTCAGTGGATAGAGCGTCAGCCTGCGGACTGAAAGGTCCCAGGTTCGATTCTGGTCAAGGGCATGTGCCTTGGTTGCAGGCAAATCCCCAGTTGGGGGTGTGCAGAAGGCAGCTGATCGATGTTTCTCTCTCATCGATGTTTCTAACTCTCTATCCCTCTCCCTTCCTCTCTGTAAAAAGTAAATTGTTTTAATAAAAAATATATTAAAAAAATAAAATAAAAGGCAATTGAAGGAAAACTGAGTTACCACATTGAATACTTTTATTAACTTATACATCTCATGGGAGTATCAACTTTTCCTGAACATGGTGGGCAGTACATTCTAAGTTTGTAAGGTGAGGATAGAGAAATGTCATTGGGAGTGTCCCTAAAGAGGCCTGTAAGAAAATAAAATGAATCTCTTATGAAAACAAAAGTAAATCAACCAGGAACAACAAAAGGGATTAACACATTCATCCACGTGTCATTTATATATTCATGTTTGTAAACTTTTTAGTTTCTTGAAGGAAATATGTTTTTATAAATTTTGAAGCAAGGCTTAGGATAGAAGCCTAGTAATTAACAAGAAGAGGAGTCAAACTTTTAATAGCATGTGCTGTTGTCTTCAAATACAGAAAATGGAGGTATCGCTGAGGGAGTCTAAAGGTCAGGAAGAAAAAAAAATGAACTTACAATGAAAAAAACAAATAAACCAAATACCATGAGCATAAAACACCAAAACACATTGTCACTTTCAGTCCTTTCAGCCTGTATCTACATTTGAGTAAGCATTTCAGCTTTATTAAAGTTAAGCCTATGAAATCATGACCATAATCAAAATAGTAAACACTTCCATTGTCTCAAAAAGTCTTTGTTCCCATTTGTAATTCATCCCTTCTTCCACTCCCAGTCCCTGGAAATCTCTAATCTAATTTCTGTCACTATAGTTTGCATTTTATAGTATTTTATATAAATTGAATCATAGAGCACACACTCTTATTTTTGTCTGGCTTTATTTATTAAATATAATGATTTTTCATGTAATAATAGCATATTCCTTTCCATTGCTGAGTAGTATTCCATGGAAGCTCTAAGTTTAAATTTTTTTTTCTTTATTGATTAAGGTATTGCATATGTGTCCTTATCCCCCCATTGCCCCTCCCACCCCACTCCCGTTCATGCCCTCACCCCCATGTTGTCTGTGTCCATTGGTTATGCTTATATGCATGCATACAAGTCCTTTGGTTGATCTCTCCCCCTTATCCCCACCCTCCCCTACCTTCCCTCTGAGGTTTGACAGTTTGATCAATGCTTCTCTGCCTCTGGATCTTTTTTTGTTCATCAATTTATGTTCATTATAATCCACAAATGAGTGAGATCATGTGATATTTATCTTTCTCTGACTTATTTCGCTTAGCATAATGTTCTCCAGCTCCATCCATGCTGTTGCAAATGGTAGGAGTTCCTTCATTTTTACAGCAGCATAGAATTCCATTGTGTAGATGTATCACAGTCTTTTAATCCACTCATCTGCTGATGGGCACTTAGGCTGTTTCCAAATCTTAGCTATTGTAAATTGTGCTGCTATGAACATAGGGGTGCATATATCCTTTCTGATTAGTGTTCCTAGTTTCTTGGGATATATTCCTAGAAGTGGGATCACTGGGTCAAATGGGAGTTCCATTTTTAGTTTTTTGAGGAAACTCCATACTGTTCTCCACAGTGGCTGCACCAGTCTGCATTCCCACCACCAGTGCACGAGGGTTCCTTTTTCTCCACATCCTCACCAGCACTTGTCATTTGTTG